GACCATTAACGAATCTGTCCGAGATTGTCAGTATTATGTGAAGCAGTACACTCAATAGTCAAATGCTATTGAATAATTAGTTGAAATCACATAAATGTGAACGACTTAGTTGGTCCAACAGACAGTGTTGGATTATGGCGGCCTTGTTTCCGCTGACTCAGGAAGTCGGGTTATTTGGTTTCTGACCCCGTAGCCAGCCAGACCTTGCGGCTCATTGACTGTTAGGTCGGCAATTAGGACGTAATTATCATGCATATCACACGTGTAATAGTGCCCCATTGCGGCTTGTTTGATTTTAATAGGCAATCCATGTCGTAGCAGACTTATTTCCCACAGTCGGGTTTGTTTGGTAATGACGTTAGTATGTTTATTATGTTGTATACATGCAGTAAATGAGTGAATGGGAGCTAAAACACCCCTGTTAGAATACAATGGTATGTCCCAATCAATCAATTACAGACAGTTGTTTAAAATTTCCACATTCAGTGTTGTCATTTGTTTACGTGCTGTCACAGGAATGTGTAAACTTACAGTAATTTACAACTTGGTAGAAATTGGAACGTTGTCGCACCTGTATGTCAATCCCGTCCTAGGTATCGTTATGTGACGGCCCCTGAATATAAAGTATATACAGGTTAAATAAATTAAACAACCCTGCAATGCGCAAAACAGTATTAGTTTACAGTATCACGGTGTCCCTCGTTATTGACACGCAGCTTTCCTCATACGAATTTAGCCTAGGTGGTTATTGCATTTTGGACGGGAAAAGCGCGCGTGTATGTGTAGTAAATACGTTTTCATCTATGCTATGGACAAAGAGAGTCATTGCTCGAAACGTCTAGCTGTTTTGAATAGTTACTCAGGACAACCATCGTTTAGCTTCATGGGACAACGATTACCAACTATTATCCACTATATATCGTGTATGTGTGTGGCGACAATCCAAACCCAGCATTACATCATCTCATAACGGCCTTGTAGCGATTGTTCAGATTAGCCATCGATGCACATATAAATCATGCTAGACGCAATGATCCCGGGACCCGCCGTAGGCGGCAGTATTTTCATTCGAGGTCAATTTTGGATCACCAGGTCATTCCTAAACGCGTAACTAGGACTGAGTCGAGAATCAATTTTGGGTGCCAGAAATCATCCAAAGACGTTTATTTGGGTATAATTTGCGCTGTCAAGACAAAGTTCAGGCTAATAAAATATGATTGACGACGTTTTCCCATGAGAAAAAAGTGAATTATTTGTTGAAAAAGGCGGAGAAAAATTGATACGCAGAAATTGTGACGTTGACTCTACGCATGCAATGCAGCGTCATGGAAATTGTCTACAGTACACGTACACGCATCTTTCGATGACGTGATTATTTTGCCAGCCTGCTTA